ACAAAAGGGATACGTACCCGAGCTAAACAAACTACTATTAGAGGAACTAGAATCGTCAGATGCATAGAAAGGAGCAGGGGTTGGTGAACCCGGAACGTGTGAACAGCCACCTAGAACTAGGTTGGCCATGAAGTCATTCCCCCTCTCCAAAAATTGGGCACCAAGGTATACACAATTGAAACAAGGCTCAGGGTTGGTAATGCTAGGACGGGAGGATACTTTCACACTCTGATTCGGAGAACGAAAAGGTGTAATAGCGTGAACCGGGGTAGAACCTAATGAAAGAGAAGTTGCCCTGAACGGGTTGCCCAAGTTACGGGGCTCAACATCCTGACCCCGGATTGAGGAACCAGAAACCCTTCTACCTCGAAGACCCCTCCTACGACCACGAATCGAGGAGCGGGATGAAGAGGCTCCCCTACGGCCACCACCTCGATAGCCGCCTAGCAGAGCAGCCTGCGTTTCTTCCTCGGTCCGAGGTCTACCATACAACCAGTACCTCGAACCAGGTGGTAGGCTTTGAATGAACCTTTCCTCTTCTTGTGCAAGTCGTTCTTCCTCTTCAACGTCAATTTCATCACCACGACCGAAGACGCAGGGGCAAGTGGGCCTCCCTCGAGTAGCATAATTTCGTTCACCCATATCAGGAACTATTCAAAGCAAGGAGCGTAAGGAGTGAGCCAAGTACAGATAAGCTCACATAAAGTGCAAGACCAATACAGAAGGTGCAATCACATAGAGAAGCAGGCAAGTAAATAAGCTTGGAATGAAGAAAGGCATTACAAAACCAGCAGCCATGGTCATGATTGAAAGTAAATGAAGAACATGCCAGAAAAGAGAGTCAGAGTGAAAGGAAATACCTACGAAGGAAGGTGTTGAACAAACTGGTAGGTACTGGAGGAGGAGGCTCTGGTAGGAAGAAACCCTTCAACAACGAAGAAAAAACTCTTCGGGAACGATTCAGAATAACAACAGGAACAAATGAATGATTGGAGGAGGATCTGGTAGGAAGAAACCCTTCAACAGCGAAGAAAAAACTCTTCGGGAATGATTCGGAACAACAACAGGAACAAATGAATGATAAATGAGGCAAGTGGTATGAAATGTTGAAATCAAAGGATTAAACCCGCGAAAGCCAAAAGGCAGGGGTACTGCGGTAATTTTGCAATGAACAAGACAGTTGAGGGACGTTTTGGCAGAGGCATTAAATGCCAAGACGGCGAGAAACGCACCACGCCACACGTCGCGCCTATTAGGAGAGGGCACGTGGAGGGATAATCATTAGAAGGAAGGGAAACCGTTTCTCACTTTAGAACAATCGTCAGATGGCAGTTACGCACAATCATATTTCGTGTTGCCGACATTTGCATTTGTATCCAGGTTCCCATGCCGGGTTTAAGATCGTGACCTTCCTTAGACAAAGAACTCAGTTATTTATGCTTATTAGGCTTACGGAGACCATGAATGGCTTCCAGGGAAAGTTTTACCCTCTCAAGGCTAGACAAGGGAGCCGAAGTAACAAAGCAGCCAGGTGACCAACTTCCGAACTAAAGCATAGTAGTTGGACTGGACATCCCGACAACCTGAAGACTCAGTCTACCGGGCTAGGGGGCAACTGCTATGGACCAGAGAAAGGCCCACAGCAGCATGAAGCCCAACCAACGTCAGCCCAGAGGTAAGCTCTATAAATAGGACTAAAGACCACAGGTATGACTGATCTCTCTAACCCTATTTCATTGGAGACACGACAGTGCACACACACATCCCTTCTGGCTAAAGCCATCATACAGTGTGTAGTGATCAGCTGTCCCCAAGATACCTAATTCATAGGTATCTAGAGAGAAAGTTCTAGATCCAACATCAAAGACCCGACCTTCTGTCGGACATACCTGCTTCAGGCAGAACAAGGCTTTTTAAAAAATCAAAAATCGATCCAATCTAAACAAAACAAAATTGGATTGGATTGGATAAGATTTTTTAAAAAATTCAAATCAAATAAATGATTAAATAATCAAACCAAAAAAATTAGATCAGATGATTTTTATTTCAAAATTGATCTAATTCAAACCGCGAACACCCGACCTGACGCTAAATCTAAGAAAATTAAGGAGACTTAATTACGTGTTACTTTGATATGTATAGGGATAAGAGAGATATTTTAACCTCAGGTTTCTTTCTTCTTCTTCTTTTTAACTTTGTTACATCTGTTCACTATATTAGAACTTATCCTCTCATGTTGAGCTTTTCTCTTCATTTAATAAATAATTATGCTCAAAAGATAATTAATAAGAAAATGATTGGATCCATTTCAATAAGAGGCACACGACTTTTCTAGGCAAAAAAATTAATTTATTACTTTTTAAATAAAAAATTACGAATAAGTAGTCGTTTTGCAAAAAATTACGAATCTATAGCACCCAAACACGTCCACATGGGGCGTGTTCTGATGGAGAGAGACACGCCCATGTGGGGCGTGAGCTTCTGTAGGAAACACGCCCAAGGTAGGGCGTGTGTGGCAGGAGAGAGACACGCCTAGGATTGGGCGTGAGCTTCTGAAGAAAACACGGCCAAGGTAGGGCGTGTTCTCCGCGGTGTATATAAATTCATTTTTCACCTTTTTACCTCATTTCCACCCTCTCATCCTCTCTCTAAACCTCCTCCTCCTCCTTCTCTCTAAATTTCTTTTGGAGGGTTTTGCGCAGCGAAGCTCTGTCTCTCTCTCATGTAAGTCCCTATTTATTGTTTATTTTTTTATTAACAACAATTAATATATGATAGTTATTTAGCGACTTAGATAATTGTTAGGGGGTTAGAAAAATATTTGTGACTTTATTTAATTGTTAGGGGGTTAGAAAAATATTAGTGACCTATGTAAGAGAATTGTGATGTGACTTATGTATTAGATATGGACTTAAAAATTAATTAGTTACTTCTAAATTGGTATATGTTGGTTTTATGACTTTTTTATGAATGACACTTGCAAACATATTGACCTTTCAATTAACCACATTATAATTACGGCTAGTAAAAAAAGAATACCGAATGCAATATTAATTTAAATTGAATTTGAATTATTTAATGTATTGAAATATATTTTTAGAATAATGTAATGTTAAATGAATTAATTGTCAATGATGTTAATTTAATTGAAATTAATATAACAATTGAAGTTAGTTAAATGCTATTTAATTAAGTGTAATTAAATTTTATTTAGTGTAAATTAATATAATATCAATAGTAATTTGGGTACATCTTTTTCATTTGTAGTAGTATTCTATTATGGCCCATTCTTCTTCATCAGAGTCCTCGCGCTCTGGATCCGATGGTGATCTTGAGCCATCCGATCCTTGTACGCATGTACTTCCTGGACCATATAGGTGGGAGGTACTCCGTAAGAGGACACAACGCAGTCACGTTTCACAAGTTGTGTGGAACGAGGATACAGTCAGGGGGTTAAAGACGAAGCGAGGGAAACTTCAGGGGGGACCCCATCATGATGATATACCAGACGTTGTCGCTGACTATTTGACACAGGCTGGGTTCATACACGTGGCACGTATGAGTCATGTTCATGTATGTTATGTTTAAATTACTTAATTAAATTACCGTATGTGGACTTTGTATAATTGTTGTTTTTCCTTCAGATCGATACCCCCTTGATCTCTGCTTTGGTTGAGCGTTAGAGACCGGAGACACATACGTTTCACATGACGCAAGGAGAGATAACCGTTACATTACAGGACGTGGCTGGTATACTTGGTTTGCCTACTGACGGGCAGGCACTTACCGGATCTACAGCGTTGGATTGGATTGCTATGTGTCAGCAGGTTTTTGGGACTACCCCTGTTGCGGGCACAGACATTCACGGAGGTGATCTACGTATTTCTTACTTAGACAAGATATATGCTAATTGGTTTACAGTAGCACACAATCCAGAGGAGGTGAGGCGTTACACCAAGGCACATATTTTGCGGCTATTAGGCTCATGGTTAGTGTGTGACAGATCAGGTGGCAGCAAAATTGCTTGTCGTTACGTTCCACTGCTTGCAGGGTACTTTACGGACATTGGCGGATACAGTTGGGGGTCTACGGTTCTCGCCCATCTCTTTAGACATTAATGTGTGGCAACAAACCCGCGGACTGTTAATCTGGGTGGTTGTCACGTATTACTGCAGATATGGGCTTGGATTAGATTCCCCCTCATTGCACCACCTATCCCGCAGCCTACCCACCCGGAGTGGCATTTTGGTCACAGGTTTATTTTATTAACTCATATTGACTAATTTATTACATGTTCATTTGCCGAATGAGTATGATAATTTGTTACACATTCCATTACAGGTTTAATTCCCTACCTCCCTTTAAGCCACATGAGCAGTCTTGGTATCGGGAAAACCTTGACACGCTTTATAGAGACGAGGTTTGTGATATCTATTTAGTAATTGTTTTTTATTTATATACATATTAAAGTTGGTGGTAATTGTGTACTTGTTACTCGTTTTTTTATATGTGGGTTATGTGGTAGCCATACGGAGAGTACCATACAACATTGTTTGTATCTGATCATGAGCGGTACTTATGGTTGGCCATTACTCCTATCATTTGCTTCCACACAGTTGAGTACGCTCAACCGGATAGATGTAAGCGACAATTTGGTTTTGATCAGCCCATACCGCGGAGACCAAGAAAGCTAAAGGGTGTTCATGATCTAACTCTGCGAGGGAAGAAGGATGATAATTGGGAGCGTAAGTTGAGGCCCTTCATACATCGATGGACGATCAGGGATACGTCCATACGTGTTCCCCCTGAACTGGTCGGGTTGATGTCCCCGAACCAAGAGTACCTACACTGGTACAGACAGCAAGGGAAACGTTTTGTCGCCAGGAAAGCTGCCAGGGTTGGACGAGCAGTAAGTTTTGACACTTCAATTATGAATATGATTATGTGTTTATACATTTTTAATTATGTGTGACGTGCTAACGAAGATTGGCAAGGAAGTACTACCAAGCCTCCAATGTCTCACCCTCAACAACGGCAAATGCAAATGGCACACATTCATTTTTACCATCTTGAGCTGTGGCAATCAATAACTTTCCCTTATATTTTCCGTATAGATGAGTGCCATCAATTTGTATCATTGGTTTGCAAAATTTAAATGCCTCACAACATTGTCTGAAAGTCCAGAAACAACGAACAAACGGTAACCAACTGCCCCCCAACAAAACAATTCTTTGTTTGAATATTGTAAAAGGAACCTGGTGAAAAGGAAGCATATATTCACACCAGTTGGGTAAAAATGCATAGGATTCCTCCCAATCACCATATAACATTGCCATTGCTTTCTGCTTCGCATACCATGCCTTTCGATATGAAACTTTGAATCCATATGAATGAGTTATCCTCTCCTGAACGAGCGAAATGGCCACTAAAGATTCGTTTTTTATCATCTCTGAATTACAAAAGCTGGATATAAACATTAACAGAACAACAGGTATATCAACTGAAATTTTAATGAGCTTTTTAATTTGAAATTACGTACCTACTACAAGTGCTGCAATAACGTCAAAATCAAGTTGTCGATGATCTTGAGAAAGATGGTCATTCAAGCAATTGTGCTTCCCACCCCATTTCTTTACCTTCCAATTTTCACCGTACGTTGGTTTGATTACCCTGACCCTCCACGGGCAACCTTGGACGTGTGCACAACATTTCATGCTTAATTTTGTGGGAGTGCTCTCAACCACAATTGCTTCTTGATGCTCCTTCATGAGGTAGCGCTTGATTGCCATCTGAGCCTCTTTTTTGGATATAAATTGTTGGTTAACAAACAACATTTTTTCCCAATTGCCAAGGACCCTGGATTGAACCTGAACTCTGCGTCCATGATTGTGCCTCACTCGGATAATCCCAATCAATATATGTGTAATGTGGAATTTCTGACCAAAAAAGATCAACAGGTGCATCGCCTACATGTACTACGTAATAATAATAATAGAATTGAATTATTTTCTTAATCAAAAATTGCAACAACCAAACTGTCAGTATATTAATTGATAGCATACCTTCAGGATGTTCTGGTACTTGACTCGATGTTGTGCCATGATGTACAACGATACGAGACTCCCCCAAATCATGCAATGGTTGAAGTTCAGTACCAGACCTGCCACATTCTTCGTCATTGTCCGATGCACTCGCATCCTCTAAAAGAAGACGATCCTCCATTGCAATATTTTCCTCATCATCTTCGTCATACTCCTCATCCATAACCCAAGTAGGGTCATGTTCATCTTCCTCAAACATGTTAACAGCAGGAACAGCAGATGATGATTCATTAAAAGGAGAAGTAAACCTAACTAACCTCATTGGTATGACAACTTCCTCCGCGGTTGTAGTATCCACATACAACTCTAAGAAATCCTTTCTACACTGGTTCAAGAACTCTTCCATTACCATATCGATGTCTTCGTCATCGACCACTTGCAAGCTAATGTATTGTTCACATTGCCATAATCTTGCTGTGACAAGAGTGATCATTTGGTTGTCTTGAAGACATAATTTTTGACGTATTTTCTGATGCAGCTCAGCAACCGTTGAGTTTCGTTTAATAGGTGATGGCCTTTTCTCCCCTACAAAAATGACACAACAACGACCTTCTTCTTTCCTACCGTTAAAATATAGAACAACACGAATAATATCAGAATTCGCACTCATTTTTAAAATCTAAATTTAAAAAGATAAAACAAAATATGGGTAAACAAGTGCAAACTATCAGAGAGTTTAGCATAACAATGACAGAATTGTGAAGAGTGTGTAGGGGGGTGGGTGTTTAAATAGCAGTCAGTTTAGTCACTCACGCCCATATTTGGGCATGTCTACCACACTGAACACGCCCAATCCTAGGCGTGTCTCTCTCCTGCCACACACGTCCTACCTTGGGCGTGTTTCTTGCAGAAGCTCACGCCCCACATGAGCGTGTCTCTCTCCATCAGAACACGCCCCATGTGGCCGTGTTTGGGTGCTATAGATTCGTAATTTTTTGCAAAATGACTACTTATTCGTAATTTTTTATTAAAAAAGTAATAAATTAATTTTTTTGCCGACTTTTCTATACTAAAGCCTCGCTGTATAAGTGATAACTGTCAAATCCATATAAAATAACCGAGATTGAGTCTAAGATTTTTAATTATTACATCGATAAAAATTGATCTATTTTTTATACCTACTCAAAAGTTTTGAAAGGTGACTTTAATTTGCTTTGTTAAATTATAAGGTTTTGAGTTAAGCCCTGCATTCTACTACTATTTGAAGAAACAATAGGCGCAACAATTAACTAGAGGTGAATGGGAAAACTTGGATCTTGGGATAAGATTCAAGTAGTTGAATCTCAAGGGTGGAATAGCAAGGTTCTACTGTGTATGAGATTTTATTTGGCTCTAAATTTAGTGAAATTACTTTTGCCAATTGGGACCGTGGTCCCCCCTATAAAGCCTAGGAGTTTTTTTTTTTCACGTTGAACTCTTTGTGTTCATCTATTTTCTGCACTATTTCTATTTTTAAATATTACAAAAAAAAAAAAAACTCAAATTTACGTTATCCAATTCAACCCCCTTCGTGAATAATGTTGGGACTTTAATATATTCATCCAATGAGAAGGGTGATAAAACATTCATATCTTACATATAATGGATGACTATTTTGATTAGATATTAATGGTCCCATTTGTATCGATTTATTGTTATTATGATTTTTGTGTTTAATTAAAATGTAACCATTATACATAAGGTTTTTTTTATCATTATATCCTTTAATTAATAACAAATTATCATCTTGCCCCTGTGGTCAGACCAAATACAATATGGACTGACCAATATGTATCGAGCCTAATCACATGCACACGATTGAGATGTGGATTGTTGTTCTTTGGTCTTGGGCCCGAGTTGAAGTTGGATCCTACTTCGTCTCTATCCTTTGTTGTGGCGCGATGAATCCGAATGGGGGATACCTATGAAGACACTCCGATGCTTAAGTCAGTATCAGAGGCAAGAGTTTGTATGTTATTAATGTAAAGGATGATCATACCTTGATGTTGTACCCTTTACTTATATAGTGATTATGATGCCGCCTTAATAAGGCGGCTTGGCTTCTAAGTGGCCAGGCTTGGGCTGCAGGTCAGTGCTATAACCTTAGTAGCCTTATCTTCTCTAATAACCAGTCATAGAGTCGCGGCAAGCTGGAGCTGTCGGTCGTTTATTGGAATAAAGGCGCGATGGGATTGCCTTGGGCCTTAAGTTAGCTTCCTTAAGGGGGTTTTATCCACGATATAGACATCGCGTCCTGTCCTGCGCGATGTTTGTCCATCGCGCATTGCTCTGGATTCTTAATGGGTTTGGGTTTCTCTGTATGTCATTGTGCCTCTAATGGGCCTATATTTTATCCGGATCAGTTGCCCCCTAGCTTGCGGTTTTGTCATGTGGCAAAGTTGTGAGCTATATGATGTTGAAGCGCAGTAGTTACATCCCATATGTCCTTTCTGTTTGCCGCGGTAATCATGTTAAAATGTCATCATGATTTTTAGCCGCTTAAGAACGGTGGATTAGACGTTTAACTGTCAGAAGCATTAAATGCTAGTATTGTTACGTGGGTGTTTAAGGGTAAGCGTGGGTGGTTTTTGAAGTGAAAACGCTTCCCCTTCTCGCCACGTGTCCCTGTAAAACCGTTTTGCTCAACACGTTTTGGTGTCTTTCGGACTATCCGTTTGAGAAAAACCTTTCGTATTTGTACTGAGCTTATTAGTTTGGAGGGAAAAGACTTCGTTGATATCGTGAGAAATCCTATGCTCCTCAGGGCTTGTTTTCTGCATTTCCGGTGTTGACACGTCCTGCTCGTGGATGCTAATCCGAAGTATAAATCTCAGGTGTGTTCTTCTTCTTCCTCTATTTATCTTGTTATAATCATCTTTGTTTTTTAGTCTTTTTTCCTCGCGCTTGAGGCATGGTAGTCAAAATCGGGATTTTACCTAAAATCGGAAAGGGAATAAAAAATCGTAAATCGTAAAATCGTAATACGAATCGTAGATTTTACCTGCACTCTAAAATTAAATTTTTATATACATATGCTTAAGTATAAATAAAAATTAAGAAAAATAGACTACCTGCCACCATCCTTATACATTTGCATACAATTGTCACACTCTAAGGGTCTAAGCTAATAAATCATTCAAGTTATTATCATCGAAGACATTCTGTTCCACGTGATCTTCAACTACATCATTCAAAATTGTCTTCATCTAAACGTTCATCATGAGATAAAGTTCCTTTATTTTCCACAATCCATTCATCTTCGGATGAAACATCAGCAATGTTATATTCAACAATTTTTCTAACTTGCTTAACATCATTCCAATAGTTAAAATCGGGATTTAAATCTTAAAATCGGGATTTTATATTGGAAATGATTTTAAGTGAAATCTAAATCATTTTAGCAAAAAAAAATCGTTAAAATCGGGATTTTAAGATTTAAATCCAGATTTTAACTACCATGGGCATGTCTGATAATCACAAATGTGCGGACTTTATCAGATTATTCAAACGGTCTGGCTCGTCCAGTCCTCCTTCGAGATTGTTACCTAGATCAAGGTCTTTGGGAACCAGGGAAGAGAGGCCTACTGAGGAATATGTTGCTCCATGTCCCAAACTTTGTGTACATGATAGTCGTGTCCCTTCTGTTTGTAGGTTTGAATTAGGGTCATCTTCGCGACAACCAAGTCGCGGAAAGACATTTTCTCAACAAAGTTCATCTTTGTTTCCCCAGGTTTCTGTTAGAATGTTTAGGCCAATTTTAATTTCGAGTGATTCCTCCTCAGGCTCTGAGTGTAGTGGTAATAGTGGTATGTCTGATAATACAGTAGACCCTAAACCATCTTCTCCAAATACGTTGCGCGATACTTCGCCTCCTATCGCGCAAGAGTTTCGCGGTCGAAAAAGTCCAAGTCCCTTACCGTTAAATGTAATATATCCGACAGGGTATCCTTTTAAGAAAAAGAATTTTGATAATTATAAGTCTGCATTTGCTGTCTCTGCTTCCTCTTATTCGTCTTCATCTACTGATTCTTCTTCTTCTGAATCAAATTTTGTGTCTCCCCAAATCAAGGAAATAATGGCAAGGCGCAGTGCTACCGAGAAGAGTGGCGCTACCGAAAAGAAGAAACAAAAGCTGAATCTTGGATCCAAGAAGAAAGTTATACACTTTGATCCTGAAGATGAATCTCCTGTCAAGCGAAACTTACGGGATGAGGAATCCCTAGGTTGGGTATCAGATACGGTATTAGATACTGCGTCGGTGTTTTGTTCTCTGGGAGAGCTGGCGAAAGTAACAGCTGCTATCCATCTTACTCCTGATAAAGCCTTTGATGATCAGTGGGAGGTTGACATCGTCCCAAAGAATGAACGTGTTTGTTCTTCGCGGGCAGAAGGATCAGCCAGGAAATTCATAATGATGTATTCCTATTTCTTCTTGTCCATAGGAGTTCGTCTTCCTTTTTCCTCATTATTTTGTAAACTGCTGGCGCATTTGAATGCGGCGCCTTCACATCTGACCCCCAATGCCTGGGGTTTTATCAGAGTATATGAGATGGTCTACAAGGCCTATGGTCTTTTTCAATCAGTAGAGTCATTCTTATATATGTTTACTGTGATGGGGCCGTGTTCTAGTTAGATATCGTTTAGAAGTAAGGTGAAGTTCTGTGAGTCGTACTGCCGGATGATCAACAAGTGGTCGACGGAATACTTCAAAATTTATCCTGCCAAAGATACCAACCCCTTTTTCTTAGGAGATGATGGGACTCCCATCTTTCCTTTATACTGGACCGAGCATTCGTTAGAAGGTGCTAATTTGAGTTATAATTTTGATGGCTTAAGTGATTTGGAGCAGAAGACTGTGACCACTCTGAGTAATATTGCACGTGAAGCTTCTGATACGGGCTCATTGAGCACGTATACAATTTTAAATGAATATTCTGATGATGATATCCGAGCTTATTTGGGTAACTTATATCTCTATTTCTTTGTTGAGTTCCTGTATAAAGAACTTTGTATAACCCTGTATAAAGATGTTTGGATATGTCTAACGTGCATTCCGTTGTCCAATTTTTGTTGCAGATAGTTCAATGGCGGCTTTGTTGAGCAGGTTGGAAAAGATAGCGGCCAATCGCGGTGCTACTAGGGCTAGTCCTTCAATGCCTGTCAAGCCTTCCATGTCTGCAACTGCCATGATCGCGGAATCAAGCGAGAATGCAACCGCGCGGTTGAAGTCACCAATGAAGCCTTTAAGTCCTCCTACTGCCCCAGTGGATGTCATCCCTCCTGAAAAGGTGACGCAAGATACCGCGAAGGGGAAGAAAAGAAGTTTTGAGGAGATGGCCGGGAAGTCCAATGTAGGTTGGCCGGACTTTGTGTATTTTGGTGAAGGCTGGGAGTTTGACAAAGATATGTATGTCAAAGGAAGAGAAGTCGGACCGCGCATTGAAGCACTTCCAAGAGAAAAATGGCTGAAGACTTCTGTCAATCTAAGCATAGCGAACCAGTTCATTATGTCCGTACCTGGCAAGTGACTTTCTGCTTTGCTATTTGATTTGAAATATGATATCGTGTATTTAATTATAACCCTTTTCTATGTAACAGGTTCTGTGGACTTCTTGAAAGAATGGATTGATG